CTCCTCCTGTTCTAGTAACAGTTTCCACTTCCCCTCCCAAGACCACCTCCCCCATGCTCAGTCCATGGTTTAGGGTGGTGTCCCAGGGTATTACATCCCCCACCATGTCAATAACTCATGGACTGGCTTGAGAGTAATGCCAGTGGAGAAAAAGAAACTTAGGGTCTGATCCCTTGGCAGAAGCAGGGCAGAAGCTTCTTACTCCACCATGTGGAGACCCCCCCCCAAAAAAGGGCAAGATCAATGGACAAAAAATTATGGGGTGAGAGAGAGTGAGTGGCATTATTTGGACCCTTGGAGCCAGCTATACCTGACATTTCAGTTGCATAAGTTGGAAATTTTTATTTAGGTTTAAGCCACTCTGTGTTGATTTCTGTCACTTACAACCAGAAAGATTTTGATTCATCCAGATGTTCCAGGTCCATTAAAGAAGTCAAAACAGGATGTCATTCTGGCGGATGCCAACCAAGTTCAACCAAGGAAACAGAGAAGATTGTAGCTGGACAGAAGGTTTCCAGATTATTGCCAGAGCTGATGCCACAGAACATCCTGCAGGAAGCCAGAGGGACCAGTGACCAGGCAGTAAGGTGTCACTGCATCATGGCATGTTTTTGCCTCCTGGTGGCCAGAGAGACATACTTGATGGCAGTCCATACTATATACCAGGGATAGACACAAAGCTCAACATGCCTCCTCCCAACCATAGCCTTTCACGAGGGCCAGGGGTCCAGTCCCACGTGGTACAAGTGGCCTCTCCCTCTGGTGCACTTGCCCGTAAAACTTGGGTAGAGACAGAAACTGCTGATCCCACCCTGCTTTGCGCAACTGTGACTTCTGTGCTTACTCTATCACCCCGCTAAGTGATGATCTCTCTATTGTCTGTTTAATATAATGGACTTGTGAGAAAGTTTTATTTTGTTTTGTTAGAGAAAATGATTCTGCTTACACCTTTCAAATTTAAGAACCAGTCCTTTTTTAGGCCACGATTAACCATGTACAGGACAGTAGGTCCGGCTCAGCTCTGTTTACTGGTACATCTCCACCTTACAATAGGATTTCTTGACCCTATGGCCCCACTGTAGGCATCATTGCTTTTTTTTAAAGTTATGGTCATATACACATAGCATGCAGTTTACCATTGTGACATATGTGAGTTTACAGTTGAGTGGCTCAACTACTATCACATTATTGTGCAATCCAACTCCACTGTCCATTTTCAGAACATTTTTATTTTGCAAAACTGAAACTTCATGCCCATTAAATAACCCCTCATTCCTTCCCCCCACAGCTCCTGGCAACCACTATTCTACTTTGCATCTCTCATGAATGTGACTATGCCATGAGTAGAATCATAAGCATTTGTCCTTTATCGATTGGATGATTTAACTCAGCATAATGCCTTCAAGATTTACCTAAGCAATCCAGCTTTGAGACATTTTGTGTGTGTACCCACTAACTGTGGCACTCGGTTCTTTACTGAAATGGTCATTCATCTGCTTCATTTCATACCTGGGAAAGGGGAAGTTCAGAGATACAGTGTTTTGAAATGCAGGCCCAGCACCCTATCAGCAGATTTTAATTATTTAATATTCCTGGAACTGAGCTACTCGTTCCTCATGCATCTGGAACTCCCTCTTGAAATCCTTCTCTGACAAGCAACAAGGAGTCAGATGATGACTCCATCCCATAAAAAAAAAATGATAGAGGAAGACTGTCATAAGACCCAATGAATAATATGGTTACCTATTGATTTGCTTTTCTTGTCTCACATTTCCAACCAACCTCATAAGTCTGGAAGTAGGTGATTTCAGAGGAGGTATCATAAGAGGGTTTGTGATGCTTCTCCCAGGCTCAGAAAATAAAACTTTATTAAAGTGAATTCATGGGCCTTAAAGAGAATTGAGCATTTGTTTCTAAGACTCCTACCAAAAATAGGGACACAGGTGTACCCATGGGCACGGTCATGCATATATGTCATCAGGTGGCACCCAATCCTCTTCTGAAATTTTTCCAGACCAACCAATCTGCACTAATTCTTCTTTCTCTGTCATTTCTGGATTCTATGTGAGTTAGCTTCTATGTGGAGTTTGGAGCTTCTTTGTCTCACACCCAGAACTTTTCAGGTGTTTCTCCAGCTGTAACTCTGCATCTGAGACTTGCCCTCTGGCCCCAGGCATCACCCTCAACCAATTTTGATCCCAGATGCTTCCAGTCCCAGCCTTGAAAACAAAAGGTCCAGGGAAGGGGAGTTTAAACTCCCTGGAGAGCTGGTTATCCCACTGTGACTTATTTCATCTCATGGTAGACAAAAGGAAAACCTGGGACAAACATTTGGACACAAATGGACCAAGAATTCCAGCTCCTTGAAATCTTCTTCTGGTGCTGGCCAGGGAATCCCTATACCCTATCTCCTGTCCCTGTAACAACATCATTTGACCTAGCCAGGAAGTTAGGGACACAGAGTATCTCTATACCAGTCTATTATGTAACAAACCCCATATCTAACATAAGTCGCATCACCTGGACCTCATAGAAAAGGTTAGACTTGAATAACTCAAGCCTTCAGGAGAACATGGATATTTCTCTGATTGAATGGACAGGTTAGTTTTGCCCCATTAATATGAACAACAAAAGCCTGAATTAGGAATGCATTGAGAACCTCTGGTTTCATATTACGTAAGATATCACATATGTTGGCACACAGTTGTAATATTACCTTAATATATTTTTAGCATTTGTAGGGTTGTTTTGATAGCTCACTTTACATTGACATCAATTTGTGTGTTCTTGCTTTTTGTCTTGATTAGACTTGTTTGATTTTTATCAACTTTTAGCTGTATTATTTCTTTTCTGTTTCATATATTTCTGCTCCTACTCTTATTTTTTCCTTCCTACTATCTAATTTGAAAATAATTTGATTGTTAATCTAGATCCTTTCTGAAAGAAGTACTTTAAGTTATAAATGTTCATCTGAGTACTTTTTCATCCCAGAGAGCCTGATATTTTAAGCTTTTATTATCATTAAGTTCAAAGCACTTTTTATTTACCTTTCTTGTGCTTTCTTCTTTGACCTGTGAGATATTTATAAGTGTGCCATTTAATTTTGAAGTGATTGTGATGGGGGGGTGAGATGCTATATATCTTAAGGTGATTGATTTCTAACGTAATAAATCATGCAAGAAACACAGTCTTCATGATTTCAAAATTTAAATAAAAGTAATGGAAATGCTTTTTATATTGATTGTATTGGTGACCTACATGTCAAACCATCAAAACTGATCTAAGTTCATGATTCAAACATATGCATTTTATTGTACTTTTCAATTTTACCTCAATGAAGATATGAAAAAAAGTAAACTTTAAAATACCCAGTCAAGAAACACATGGGTAACTGGGTGATTTGGGTATAATACTCTTTTACTTGCTAGTGCCTCTTTTTGGCCCTCTCTTTAAGTATCTGTAGTAGAAGTTGGTAAATGGTATTTTAAAAATAAAAACTGAATTAAAAGAAAAACTGAGATGCTTCTATATTTTTGTCACTAATAATACTTCTGTAAATTTAAATGGAAAACCACTTGTATGAATTCGAACTGAGTTGCAGTTATGCCCTCAAGCTTAATTTAAAATGTGCTTTTTGATTAAAATTTCAATAAAGATGAATTCCAATAATAAAAAAATACATTTCAAAGTTAAAAAATAAAAAGAAACTTCTGGTCTCATTATTCAGCAAGCATACATGTACACCTAAGATAAATGGTAGGTAGAAAGAGAGCTGGATGGACTTGAGTCCAAATGCTGATTTTTAAAAGATCTCTGTATCTTAATTCCACTTTCACAAAAGGAAGGCGATGTGTTCTAGGTCAAAGGGTTGGAGAATAATGTGAAATAGTGGATGTAAAATTGCTGGACATTTTGCCTGACACAATAGATCCCTAATGTCACTTTTCTTCTTTCTTCCCTCCTTCCCTTTCTTCCTATTTCCTTCCTTTTTTCCTTCCCCCTTTGAGAGATACATTTGATTGGTCCAGGCAGAGAGCATTAATTGACCAAGTACCCTGGATCATTGTGTGGTTAAAGGTGAGTGTCTACACTCAGCAATTTCTTCCTCCAGTCTAGGCCAAGGACCTCTTGCAACTTGGCTGTCCCTCACTTAGTGCCTTCCTCTGTTCAACCGGCCACAGGTTTGCACTTGGACCTTAAGGCATTCTTTACCATACATTCCAGCATCTTCAGCTATTAATAAAGTGGTTTTTTATCCCTTTTGGTTCTTTATTTCCATTCAATTTCTTGAAACTTCAAAAAAGCATAATTGTCAGGTAAGGGCACAAGCATTCCTAGGTTTCAACAGACAGACCTTCAACCTTGAACCTTAACTGTACCACCAACAACCAATGAGACAACTTTTGCTAAGACTGGCCAAATTCTTTGGATGCTTAGCAAGAAGTCCCTTCAGCCTTGATCCTTGCCCAAACCCCAGCCAATCTGTCCTCAAACTACCTCCCCTCACTAAGATACCCCCAACCTCACCAGGGCTGTTTTCATTTATTCCTGGCAAGGGGGAAAGGATTAGAAGAGGCCAAAACTCACCCACAAGGCAATGGCCAGCCTGCAATACACAAAGCACAAGACACCCCTCGCCTGAGAATAGTCCTAGGGGAAAAATGGCATCTAATAGGCAGGAAGGAGATGAGAAAGGAGGGAAGATGAGAGATAAAAATGAAAAGAAAGGAAAGAAGAAAAGAAGATTCTTGCTATAAAGAAGAAGGGTCCTCCACTTCCAGCCTCAGACCAGCAGTCCAGTTCTCTCACCATCTGTTTTAGGTAGGTCAGATTTTGTGGCTAAAAAAATTGATGCTGTCCCCATAAATATAGTTCATATTGCATTGCACATATTTATAAATATAAGTGCTGTAGCACCACCACATTGCCTGTGAAGAATGCAGGCAGGTTGTGATTAGAGGTGAGCCAGTTCCTGATTGTGGGTTAATTAGCTCTGCTAATAAACTGCTTGTAGCTTTATTTAAGAAAAATAACATATTTCATTTTAGGTAGAACAATTACAGTGCATGTAAAATAGATATTTTTGCCTCGTGAGCATTTAACATGCTTTCTTTGAGGAAAACACACACACACACACACACACACACACACACACACACTATTTTCTTTTTAAAAAGTAAAAAAATCCAACAACCCTCCCACCCCCCAGCAATATGCTCCCTGATTGGATTGTAGTGAGGATGAACTTCAAAGGGGTTCCATTGGTTTTCCAGTTCAAGAGCTGGTCTTTGGCTGATGGCCATTGGCAGCAGAACAAGTCGGTGACATCAACTGGATCCCAGCAGGAGTCTGGGGGCTGCAAGATGAAAAGCAATGTAAATTGCTAAACAATAGGACTCAAGAAATACCTTAATTAGCAGTGAGAGGGAGGCTTGAGATGGGCATCCCCAGGACTTGGAGAAGGTGCCAGCAAGGCTGGCGAGCCCATGAAAGAGAAACAGCAGGAGACAGCAAGAGTATGGGTGGTCCAGGGCAGCAGGGTGGAAACATGGCCCCAGACACAGTTATCAGGAGATATTGGATCCAAGGTCTGCATTAGCAAGTGTCTTGGAAACTTGGAGGTGGAGGAGATATCAAAACTTACCTTTTTCTGTGATAGTAGATACCTGACCTAAGTACTACCTCTCACTGTCCTCCTGTGTCCCTTTGCAGACATGGATAATTGATGGTAGCATTCTTTCCTATGGATCCCAGGTAACCATGATGAATTAATTGGAATTGGCAAACCTCCTTGACACCCCTGATCTAATCTGCCTCTTTGTTCTAAGATAAGAAAAGTGAGATCCAAGATAAAATCGTGTTGTTTTGAGTATTTTAAGTGACCTTCACAAAGGTCTCCTGAACTTCCGTTACAAACCCTGTCCAGGGGACTTCCAGATATCTGAAGTTCCTGGTTTTCATCAAGGCTTATCCTCAAATAAGTCACAGTAATTCTTCCAGAATCCAGAAAAATAATGCACAAGAGTGCAGACAAACAAAGTAAGTAACATTTGTTCCTAAGCATTACCTTCAGGTGAAGGAAGATTCAAGAAATAGATTGGGAGGGGAAGGATCAATGGAGCCATTATATTGCACACAGTAATTAGCTTTCTCCATGGGCACCCAGCCAGGTGATGGCAATGTCAACCAAGATGAGCACTGTTCCAGTCTTCCAGTTAGGGTATCTTAGTTGCTAGAGTTACCATAACAAAATATCATAGACTGGGTGGCTTCAACAACAGAAATCTATTTTCTCACCATTCTGAAGGCTAGAAGTCCAAGATCAAGGTATCAGCAGGGTTGGTTTTTCCTGAGGCCTCTCTCCATGGCTTGGATATGGCTGCCTTCTCCCTATGTCCCCACATGGTTATCCACTTCTCTGCGTTGTCCATGTTTCAATCTCTTCTTATAAGGGTTCCCGTCATCTTGGATTAGGGCCAACCCTAAAGACCCCTTTTAACCTTAATTGCATCTTTAAAGCCTTGTTTCCAGGTAGAGTCACATTGGGGGTTAAACCTTCAATGTATGAATGAGGGGAGTGTACAATTTAATCCATAGCACAAGGTTATCAAATGATGGCCCTTAGAGATAGAGGGACCTCGGAGGGCTTGGATTCCCACCACTTTTCTAGTGCAGGACTCCCTCTGTAGGATATGTGGGTGCTCTTCTAGCTCTGCCCCAATAGCAGTAGGAGCTCTGCCTTCACACAAATACAGGTGTATGGATAAGCTTGCAATGCTGCCAAATGATGATTAGCAGTCCCCCAGTGTGTTAGACAGACTATGGAGATGTGCATATAGAAGAAAGGATTGGAGAGTTGTGACATGGCTGGCTTTGAAGGTGGAGGAGGGGGCCACAAGCCAAGGAATGAGTGGCCTCTAGAAACTGAAAAAGGCAAGGAATCAAATTCTCCCTAGAATCTCCACAAAGGAATGCAGCCTGGGCACCTTGATTTCAATATTGTGAGACATATGGTGAACTTCCACAGAACTCTTAAGACTAATAAATCTGTGTTTTTTTAAACCATCATGTTTATGGTAACTTGTTATAGCAGCCACAGGAAACTAATATAGCCACCTAGAAATGCTAATAAAGGGGGAGGGGGAGAATGGAGAACAAAAGCCCCAGAAGGAAAGCTGACAGGAGTATTGAGAAAGGAGGATATCAGAGCTCCTACCAGTTGGGAGAGTGGCCCCCCCCCGCCCCCGTTCTCTGTTGATAGAGCATTTCATATACACATTCCCATTGGGCTGGTGTGATTAATTTCTGGGCCTAGCTCAGCACCACTCAGGATAAAGACACAACACCATGCCTCATGGATTCATGGACTTGCACTGACCTCTCTGGTGGGGCCTGTAGCCTCACAGGGTAAAATTGGCTAACAGGAACCTCTCTGCAACAACACTGTTAGCTCCTCCGGCCAGAGCTATCAGCTTTTTATAAGGATAACAAGACCCAATTTTGGAGTCAAGCCTAGGTTTTTAACAACAATTTGAAAGGAAAGATGACCCAGAATTCCATCTACCCCTTTAGAAGTTAGCATCTATTAAAGTCCTGTGGAAGCATGCTCGTTCTGATACAACACTCTTCTTGGTGGCAGCTTAACCCTTTGAATGTCAGCCTTCTCCTTAATGTCAATTATCTTCTCCCTGGACTATTCCCTTTATCCCCAAGACCCTTGGCACACAAGTCAATGAACCATAAAGACCCAGCCTTGCTTTGGCAAGATCCCTGGGGAGGGAGAAAGCCAAGGAGGGTGAGGAGATCTTAGAAGCCATGGTTTATGCCAGGCCAGGGAGCCAGGCCGAAAGTATGCTGTCCAATCCCAGGAAGACTGGCAGATGATAAGTGCAGCCAGCTTTCCTTGTTCTCCCAGAGCCAGAACCCAGGGACATGTGCAAGGCACGTCTGGGCTTTGGTGTAAAAATAAACCCAAGGCTGTCAAGCCCTAGCATATTAATGACAATTAATGATTCGCTCTAATCCTCCCCAGCTCTCCGTGGGCATCTGTGACATGCTTCAGGCTGGACACCCCTCCCCACTTTCCCCACCTCCTGCAGATTCCATCCATATGCTGAGCTGCTCGGGAATGCAGATCTGGGAGGGAAAGTTAAGAGCCAGAGATGCCCACTAGGAAACCCCTGCCTGAGGTTAGATGGAGAAGGCCAGCCCATCAGCCCTGGGTAGGGACTCCTTTCCACCTGCTCTCCCTGAGACCTGCAGGGCATCGGCAGTCGAATCTCCTTTCCAGAGCCCCAGGGCTGGGAGCCGTGGCCAAGGAAACTGAGGCCTCAAACACACACTCCTGGGGGGATCAGGTGCTCATACCTTTTGGCTCAGATGCTGTTCAAAACACAGCCCCATGTCAGCCCTGTTGATCAGCCTCTCCTGCTCAGGACCCTAGGTCCTATATGTGAATGGCAGTTGCTCCTGGCCCCTGAAGACTCTATCCTCCTTAACTGCTTTTCTGGGCTAAGTTCTTCTCAGAGGTGAGTCCCTTCCGGGTGTCCCCAGACTGAACCAGACAGTTTGCCTGGTTATCTCGTCTCCTGCATATTGTAACTTGGGCAGGCAGAGACCACATCTGTCATAATCCTCATTCTGCCCCAGTTGCCTAGCCAGAGGCCAGGGGTCACAGGTGCAGAATAAATGTTGGATATCTGCCTGGTCAACTGGTCCCAAATGGAAAGTGGTGGTAGAACTCTACCTCACTCGTGCCAAGTGCCCTGTGAGCATCAGCTCTCATTCTTGTGCATCAACTGTCTCCTTTGATCCTCCCCACACCAGATTCCTTAGGTGCTGTTACTACTCCCATTATTTAGAGGAGGAAGAAAATAAAGTTTCTGCAGCTGAAATAACTTTCCCTATGTCCCACAGTTCCTGGGTGCTGAACTATCAAGAGTCAAGCCCAAGTTGCATCTACCCAGTTCCATCATGGTCACTCAGCACAAGCATGTCTTTGCTTCATCAGATTGTAGCCTTCAAGGCCATTTGCCCCAAGGAGACCAATATGGCCTTTGAAGCAGCCCCAGGAACTGGCTTTTTGTTAGACTCCCATTTTACAGATGAAAAAAACTGATGCTTAGAAGAGCAGAGCAAATTTCTCTTCCCCAGAACAGAGCTGGGGTTCAGGAAATTGTCAGGAAACTGTTTCTGGGAGAAATAGGTGCAGAAAACCAGAGAGGGCCTTGCAAGAGACACTCAGAGGAATCAGTAAGAACTGGCCCTGAGTTTGGGCTTATAGCCAAGAGTGCAGAGGCAGGAAGGGGTTGCTTATGTAGGAAGTGAAATGATTTGCTTTCCTGATCATCAGGCCAGACTTTCTCTACAAATCTATGGGTGGGTGCCTGGGTGGCTCCAGCCCAACCCCCATACTTGTAACCCACTCACAGGGGAGAAGGCAAGGAACGCAGGAGGAGCGCCAGCTTCTCTGATATATAATGAGCAAGAGATAAAATCTGCTGAGATAAAACAGAGCCTTTTTTTTTTTTTTTGCCAGTTCCATTTGGGATTAAGACTACCAGGAAGAAGGGTGAGTCCCTTCTTTGTAGAAAAATTAAAAAAAAAAAAAAAAAAACTAAACACTGACTCAAAAGAGCCCTGCAAACTGAGTACCTTGAAGACTTTCTCCCACCAGTTTTGAAATCTCTCTAATTGGGCACTTAGCTAGGGTGGGAATGAGAGATTCTTGTAGCCATTATGGAAACACACACAATGAGGAAATTATTGCCTTCTTAGTCCTATATGGAACACCAATTATTCTGTGCCGAACCTACACTGGGTTTCTACACAGTAAGTCTTTGGAGGCAAAGGAAATCTCCCTCCCCTTGCCCCCAGTCGGCCTTAGTAAAAAGAAGTGGGTTGCTGTCATTGACTCAAATTTAACCACCAAATTCCCCTTTGAAAAGGACAACCTCAGCCCAGACAGCCCTGGAATGTCATGCAAAACACCCAGCTCTGAAAGGTTTCTACTTCCTGTTTCAGGCATCCATCTGGACAACACCACTGCATTTCAAGCAATTTGGTGGTGAGGTCACTACTCTATTTGCCACCCAATTCCTCCATTCACCTGCCTTCTCATCTCCTTAGGCATGGGTGGGGGTGCCTCCTGGGGATCCAAGGTGAGCTGCGCCTTTCGTCTTTGCCCTTTCTTACTCCCCCAAGATGCAAAATCATGGGATTTCTATCCAACATCCACCTCACCTAAGAGAGCAGCACGTGTCTTCTTGAGTTTACTTATAGAAAAGGATAGCAAGGTGTGACAAGCCTGCCCCCTTCTTGACCTGTCCACACAACCAACAGCCAGGCATGCCTCAG